TATGACTACCAAATGCATGGTATTCTAGACATTTATTTTTATTACTCCAAGAGTGACTGTGACCAGCAGTGGAAGTACAGTCTGCCATCACACCTTAGCAGCAAGTATTACTTGCACTTTTATAGCTTCCTCTCTCTCTCCCCATCCTCTTTCTTACCCTTCCTCTATTTTCTCCTCCTCCAAAAACACTGGTCCCCCCCCCCCTCTCCTTCTCCTCCCTATCATCTCATCTTCTCTAGTCTGTTCTGTATCAACAAATGGAGCAGAAGCCTGAGCCGTGGAGTTATCACAGGGGAGTTTGGCTGTACTCACTTTGGTCCAACCTATAATAATAAAAACATAATATGCTAATTAGACCAGACGTCCAACTGAACGTCCTTCCAGATGAAGCCTGGGCTGCGAGGGAAGCCTGGATCCCGGGTGCCAGAGGAAAACCAGTGCCGGCTGCTGGGAGAAGGAAGGCCTACTCTTGCAAGAATTATGCATTGGGCCTCTAGTTTCACCATAAAGAGCTTAATTCCCAGTGGATTTTAAAAATCAAGCAATCACTAGACCACAGCAACTAGACTTGAATTTTCTTTGGTCTCATTAGAATAGAGGGCGATCCTTGCATTTCCCCTCCAAACCCAATTACTAGGCCAGGCCCTCCAACCTCCCAAACATAATCGATTTGGGCCCAAAGATGTCAACAAAGCTAACAACTGAGGCATTATCTATGGTGTTCAGATCAGGGCCGCTCCTACCCAATCCCTGGCCATCATTTTTAAAAAACAATCGCGACTATGACATTCAGTCTGGAATAAGAAAGGGTAAGCCTGAAGTTCTCGCTCAACTCCAAACTCATCGTTTTTTCTGAGCCGATATAAAATAACTGTGGAGCAGAGTGTAGTAGAACAAGCGGGCTCCACTCTGGTGTCGGCTGCTGGTCACGTGATCTCAGAGAAGGCCCTTAACTTCTCAGCCTGGGTTTCTTCAATGCATAACGATACTCCATCAGTCTCAACTACATTTTGTATCTGAATTTAGACCATGGTCTCCACGGTCTCTAAGCTCTTCTGGAAACCACACCCACAATCACCAAAGCTAAAAATAAATAGAGAGAGGCACCAAGGAAGAGAGCTAAACAAAGGCCTGTGGCAGGAATCCCACCCACCAGACTTCAATATCCGCAGGACTGAATCCAGGCTGCCATGGGAATGCTTTAAGGGTATTTTTGTCACCACACCATTTGTTGGCTCATACGTAAGAGTTATATTCATTCACTTATTAAACACTGTACTGTGTAGAAGGCACTATGAAAGTGAGAGGCAAAGACCCTTTCCTCTTGAAGACGTGCATAGTTATGTTACCTAAATAAAAGTCTAAGTATGTCCATTTTTCCACTGCCTAAAAGACTTGTTGCTGTAAATCAAACCACATAAATTCCCATAGTTAGATCTTAAAGGAAATAAGCCATAAAAGAAAATTTCAGAATGACATCTGCCTTCCTACGCATCAACCAATTCCAACAACGTACTCCTATGTACCCTTTCTTCTGTAGGCAGTAAAGAATCAGTGTGAGCCCAGGAAAGTGTTGCCAAGTGGTTAGAGTGTGGGCCCCGTGCGCAAAAGGGTCATGAGTTCAATTCCCAGTCATGGGCACATAACCGGGTTGCAGATTATCTCCTAGGAAAATTTCTAGGTCCTCCATTAGATAACATTTTGATTTACATATTCAAATTCTTTTCAGCTGTTTTTAAAGACCTATTTGAGGTTAAAGAAATCTTTACCATTGTTGGTAAAACCGGGCTTTATTGGGAGGAATGTCTATCTTAAAGTCCTGATAACTTTATTGGTCTTGGTCTATTTTAATAGGTCTTAGTCTATTTTATTTTTATTATTATTTCATCATACGGTTTGTGTCCTGAATTTCTTTTTAAATATTTTTATTGATTTTTTTTAGAGAGAGGGAGAGAGAGAAACATCAGCTGCCTCCTGAAAGCCTACTACCAGGGCTCAAGCCTGAAACCCAGGCATGTACCCTGACCTGGAATCAAATCCGAAACCTCTCTGTGCCCGCAAGGGTGACCAACCAACCGAGCTGCATCGCCCAGGGCTGTCCGTAATTTGGTTTCAGTGTCCCACCACCTGAGGAGTATAAATTCTAGCAACATGCATACATTACAAAAAAGTTCATAAAGCAAATGGTAGAATGTATGTTTAAAAGTAGTTAATTAAGACCTTCTACAGGCAGAGTAACAACTTGCTAAGAAAGAGTATGATAAAAACAGATCAGTTCCAAAAAAGTAAAACAGAAACTTAAGTGTCATTAACTTTGAAATTAAAGCAGCAAAACAGAAACAACCTCCTGGCTAATTTGCCTAACTCACTGGCCCTGTTTCCCCATCCCCTGATGCAGCTCTGTGGAAACAGTCAAGATTGTTAACTGGGAGCATGATACTACATTCTCCTGCTTTCCTCTCATCTCACTGGGCACACTTCTTACTCTCCTCAGCAATGTCCCCTCCTCATCTTCCCAGCCTGCCGCTCAATGCTGGCTTGTCTCCGGGACTCAATCCTTGAGCCTCTTTTCTAACATCACTTCCTGGGTGATGTTACCCAACATCATGGCTTTATATCTACGTATACATTTAGACCCCTGAAAGATGCCTTTGCCTGCTTGATTAACTCCATTCCAAGGTACTGTTTCCTCTGCCTGCAATGCTGTTCCCCAAGAAAATCCCTGTGACTTACTTCCTTGAATCCTTCAGGGTTCTTGTCAAATGCCAACTTATCCGAAAGGCCTTTTCTACCACCTTATTTAAAATTGCAACCCCACCACCCCACCATTCTGCTGGCACTAGCCTAGTCTTATGTCTCGGCTTTATTTTTCCCCATAGCAAATCTAGTAAGCTATACATTTTCATTGTTTTTTACACTAAAATGTAAGCACTATAATGGCAAGGACTTTTGACTGCTTTGTTCACAGCTGTCCCTCATACCTAGGACATACCTAGGGGGAAAAAAAATCTACACCTGAAGGCTTTCAAAATCCTTTCATTCAACTATTTGTTGATACTGCAATGTTATCAGGCAAAATTGTTACTTCAAAACACCAACCATTATAAGGAACAGAAATCTCAATCACCCACACTTATGCGTAGTGTTGCAAAAGGAAAAGCCAGCTTGTGTTTGAAAATTAATTAAAATTATTTTTTTTACTATTTAATTTGGTTGACGTCTTAGCACTATGTCTAAAGAGTCCCAAGAAACACCTACAGATGTTGTTTTAGCTTTACTAGGCAATTTACTGTTTCTTGAGACAGAGGAAGAAAAAAAAATTACAGGCTTTTTCCTTTTATCAGTCACCACTGACTGAAGGCCTCCAAGTGACCTTGTGCCACGAACGTTTAGTATATTTAGGGCAGAAGGGATTCTAGAAAATAAAATAATCCTTTCACCAATCCCAGAAGAGGAATTTCCTCAAATACCTCTGCAGACCTTTTTTTCTACCTGTGTATGCCTGAACAAAGACATTTTTAGTGTATACCTGAAATCTTGGTTGTTAAGAAACAACATGATTACCTAATTATACATACAGAAAAACTGGTACTCACCCAATTTTTCAAAAAAAAATATTTTTAACTAAGACTAGACTTAGGAGGTTCTGTTGAAAACGTTTTGTTGTGAAAATGAGTTAAAAAGATGCTCACTTAGCAAAGACGTGGGTTGATGGGTACTGTATCTTAAGGCTGAACAGTTTTGTTTACTATTGTTTATTATTCAGTGCATTATTCCTGGCTCCCACCCACCCAAAAAATAGAAGCGTACGCGCGCGCGCGCGCGTACACACACGTGTACACACACACACACACACACACACACACACACGCAACACATTGGAATGCTACATCCAAAGGAAGCTAGCTGTTCGGAAAGGCTATGATCTAAGCGTTTAACACTGACAGATAAAGTTCAGGCGGTAGATGTCACTTGTCTCATCCATTTAAAGAAAAAAAAATCAAGCTTCAGATCCAAGAAAGCAAGCAGAAAAAGAAAGAGGCGTGAAAAATGAAGTCAGCCGCTTCTCCCTGGGGGCCTCCTCCAGACACTGCGCAAGGGTTACCCCCACCCCCTCCGCACCACCCACCACCACCCTCCACCCATCCATCCATCCATCCATCCACCCATCCATCCATCCTTTCAGGGCGTCTTTCCCAGCGTCAGCTCCCCAGCTCAGCCCCGCACTGCGCCATCCAACGAGCCCAGAGGCGGCCCCGGAGCGGGTCCAGGAGAACCCCGGCAGCAGCACCCGGTGCGCCCGGCCCCGGGGGAGACAGACATCCAACTCCTGGAACTCGGCAGCAGCAGACGCAGTGTCCACCGAGCGTCGTGCCGGCCCCGCGCGTCCAAAGGTCCTTCCTTCCTCTCGCCAGCCCCGCGAGCACTGCCAGGCCGACCGGATTCCAGGAGGCGGCTGCCCGTCATCGCGGAACCGGGAACGGTCTGGGACGAAGTCCAGCCCGCCTCCCGCCGGCGCGCGCCCCGCAGCCCCGCCGCCTCCCGCGCCCCCTCCCCGGGGGGGCGTCACGTGCCGGGGCTCAAACTTCGCGGCCCGGGCACCGGGAGCGGGAGGGAGGGAGGGAGGGGGACCCGCGGGGTCGCCGCGAGGCCGGGGAGCTATCGCACCCGGTGACTCACCCGCCGCCTGCGCCGGCAGCTGCGGGCGGGGGGACCGGCGCGCGGGTGCGGGTGCGGGTGTGAGCCGTGTCCTCCGGGCCACCTCCGCACCGGCCCCCGCTCCCGTTATTCCTCACCCCAGCGCCCCGGGCTCCGGAACGCACCCTACCCGCGAAATAAATTACCGAGTCTGTAAAAATCGCCTCCCGAGCGCCCGTCCGGCCGGGGCGCGGGAGCTGCCAGCATCTGACTTTGTGTGGAGCCCGCACCCCGCCTCCCGCCTCCCGCCTCCCGCGCGCGAGGTCTCCCGCGGCGCCGCCGCCGCCACAGCCCGGCCTTACCCGCCAGCTCGTCGGGCTCCAGCCCGCTGTCCGCGTCGATGCCGCACAGCACGAAGTAGTGCGCGAAGCGGCAGGCGGCCGGGGAGGAGCCCGGGCCGGGCGCCGCGCCGCCGCCGCTCATCCCGGCCCCGCTGCGCCCGCCGCCGCCGCCGCTCGGGAGGCTCCTCGCCGCCGCCGCTCCGGCTGCGGGCTCCGCGCCTGTCCTAGGGCGATCCCGGCGCGCCCATGCCCGCGCCGCCGCCGCCGCCGGTCCCCGCAGCGCCTCGCTCCTCTCGGGGCGCCGGAGAAGCGCCTGGTCCGTCCCGATGCGGATGCCGGTCCGGCGGGGGAGGGGCGCGCAGGGGGAGTGTCCGCGGGAGAGGCTCGCTCCGCCGCAGCCGCGCTGGTCAGCCGGGAGCCGGGCGTCTGGCGCCCGCAGGTCGGTCAGCTGAGCCCCGCGCCCGCGGTGGGAGCTCGAGGAGGGCGGGCGGGCGGGCGGGCGCCGGGAGACGCCGGGGAGGGCGTGCGCGCGCGAGGGGCACGCGTTCGGGCCGTGCGCGCACGCGCCCCGCGGGCTCCGGGAAGGCGCAGGGCGCGGGCGGGGTGCGTGCTGCCAGCCGGGCTGGCGGCGCGGGGGGCGACCACGCGCGCGCGCACACACTAGCGCCTCCTGTCCTCCGCCAACCAGCAGCGTAGGTTAGTTAGCCCAAGCGCGGTATTCTGCCTTCTGAAGGGATGCCAGACTCATTTTTTAAAAATGCAGCTTTGGGCAAGGTTAAGAGCCACTTTGAGATCATGGTCCCACCATGGTTTGGACCATCCCCATCGTTTAAACTGTGACCTGGGCCGAAGCCGGTTTGGCTCAGTGGATAGAGCGTCGGCCTACGAACTGAAGGGTCCCAGGTTCGATTCCGATCAAGGGCATGTGTCTTGGTTGCGGGCGCATCCCCAGTGGGAGGTGTGCAGGAGGCAGCTGGTACATGTTTCTCTCTCATTGATGTTTATATCTATCCCTCTCCCTTCTTCTCTGTAAAAAAATCAATAAAAATTTAAAAAATAAAATAAACTGTGGCATGGGCACATGCCTATCTCGTGTTCTATCTCGTGTTCAGAGCCTCGTCCTGGATCCCCCTCACCCTCCTTCGCAAGCCATCCTTCCTCGGTAAATTGGGGAAGCTCTGCGGGAGGATTGGAGGGGAGGAGGAGGGGGGCGGACGACTCAACAGCCACAAAGCATGGAGACTTCTAAAAGAACGGCTATTGCCGAAACCGGTTTGGCTCAGTGGTAGAGCGTCGGTCTGTTTCCCTGCTCTGCTCGCACTTCATATTACCGGCTCTCACTTCAGGTACAATCGGAGACTGATAGGCAGCAGGAATTTGACCCTGAACTCCGCTCCTCACGCGGCCATGGCTTTCTATTTTGCTCTTTCCTCTGACTATCCATTCTTTAGAAGGAGCTCGCCAACCAGTTCTTAACTCCTTTAAAAGGTGAAAAACCGAATGGATATCATCTCCACATTGTCATCTCTTCTTTCAGGATTTGGCTGTAAGGTTGGGTAGGGTGGAGTGTGTGTGTGGGGGTGTATCATGAACACACAAGCAAACCTTCCAGGAAGTGGACTGACAGAATGAGCCTCAATTATTTGACCGAATAATGTTCTTGAAAGATACCATTATTTATTGTAGCTTCTATCCTAATTTCTCTCTCTTCAATTTGAAATAGAAAAAAAAAAAAAATCAAGAAATCAGGGTGAGCCAGCCTGGATAATTGACCTTTATCTTCTATTGCACTCTGCCCTTTCCCTTCAAAACACCTGTAATAACTTTTCCTGTGTGTCTTCTTGGCTGGATTGTAAGAGTCACAGAGCAGAAGCCATGCTTTCTGCTTCCTCGTGTTTCTAATAGCGAGCAGAACCCTGGTCCCACATAGCCCATCAACATATTTATTGAATGAACTAGGGGCCTGGTGCACAAAATTCATGCACAGGGGAGAGGAGGGTCCTTCAACCCGGCCTGCACCTTCTCATAATCTGTGGCCCTTTGGGAGATGTCCAACTGCTGGTTTAGGCCCAATCCTGCAGGGATCCCTGTGGGATCACACCTAAACCAGCAGTCAGACATCCCTCTCCCAATCCAGGACCACTGGCTCCTAACCACTCACCTGTCTGCCTGCCTGATCTCCCCTAACCACTCACCTGTCTGCCTGATTGCCCTAACCACTCTGCCTGCCTGCCTGCCTGATTGCCCCTAACCACCTCTGTTTGTCTGCCTGATTACCCCTAACCACTTTGCCTGCCTGCCTGCTTGATTGCCTCTAGCTGCTCACCTGCCTGCCTGATTGCCCCTAACCACCTCTGCCTTGGCCTCTGCTTCTGTGGTTTCGTCCAGAAGGACATCCAGAAGGTCGTTCGGCTGTCTGGTCTAATTAGCATATTATGCTTTTATTATTATAGATGACAGAAGGGTGGTTATCTAGGTAGTAACATGCTATAGAAAAATACACAAACTTTAATATCTATAACATATTTATGAACGCATGCTAATTTTTTATACGATTATTGCTTTTCCTCATATAGAGGGCACTAACGTGTGTAAAGCAAAGGGGAGGGAGTGCCCTGGTCAGGTAACTCAGTTGGTTAGAGCATTGTCCAGATACACCAAGGTTGCAGGTTTGATCCCTGGTCAGGGCACATAAAAGAATCAACCAATGAATGAATAACTAAATGGAACAACAAAACAATGCTTCTCTCTTCCTTCCTCTCTCTCTAAAATAAAAAAATAAAACAAAAATAAGGGGAGCCCTAGCTGGTTTGGCTTAGTGGTTAGACGCACATGTGTCAAACACAAGGCCCTCGGGCCAAATCCGTCCCGCCAGGCCTTGCAATGTGGCCCCCACCGCGCTGTCATCACTGCACTCCCCTGCGTTTCCATCACAATGACAGTTTATGACTGTTCAGTAAACCATTCGGCCCGCGATTTAGGCTGGATTTTAGATTTTGGCCCCTTCTCTGATTGAGTTCGACACCCCTAGGTTAGAGCATCAGCCCATGGACTGAAGGGTATCAGGTTCAATTTCCGTCAGTGGCATGTTCCTCAGTTGTATCGATAGACCCAATCCCCAGCCTTAACTTGAGGCTCCTATAGGAGGCAACCAATTGATGTGTCTCTCTCACATCAATATTTCTTTCTATGTGTCTCTCCCTGTTCTTTCTACTCTCAAAAAAAAAAAAAAATCAATGGAAAAATATTCTGGGGTGAGGATTAACACAAAAAAAGGAATTGAAGAAGAAGAAGAGGGTGACGGAGGTATATGTGTTTCTCCTATTTTTGTTATAGCTTCTTACAGAATGTTTGTTAAATTCTAGACTATTCAAACAAAGAACAACAAAAAATGAATTTACTGTTTGCACTAGCCAAGAGATATGTTACTTTTTGTTCCTTTGAAAAGTAACCGATTTATGAGCTTGAAAGCCCTACATTAATGTTTTTAAGATGATGAACTAGAATGAAGCCCAAACAAACAGAATGTATTGAAACATGACATATAAATCTCATTAAAATAGACAAAAATCCTTCATAAAGATTTCAAGAAGATAGTGACACATTGCAGGATTTCAGACTAATTTGAAAATATCTGCGTACGTTTCTAATTATCACTTCAAAATAACACTGTGTAGGTATAATCTGCGGTAAACTGCGATGAACAGTTGAAAGAATAATCAAGAATTAACTACACATCGTTGCACACATGTTTTCCTCCAAAATGATGACAGAGATAAATTAGTGTAGTAAACAAACACAAATGACTTGAAATAAATCTTCCAAAACATTTACATTGTATTGCGGAAGGGAGAGATCATATCCTGTTCCCACATTAAGACAACTCTTGTCAACTCCAATCTTCAGCTCCACCATGCCATCCACACATGCACACACACAGGAGAAAAGGGGTTGCTAAAGCAACTCTAAAGCCATTCATGGGACCACACTTTCCTTGTAGTCAGTCACCTTAAACCGCCAGATTAGCAGTGCTATCAATTTCTACTCTTCTGTTTCCCGTAGGCAGCGGCTGCTGGCAGAGCTCAGCTAGTCCAAGTGCAAGTCATGCCCTCCATCTGAGGTTTTCCTGCAGTCCTTCCAGGGTAGCAGATCGCTGCTCAGGTGCTTGGGACGTTCTCTGGTATTCTGCTGTTGTTCCTTGTGCATTTGCTGCCTGAATTGAATTGAGAATTTATTGCAGTGGCGGCCATAATCCCAGCTTTAACCTCTAAATAACACAAAACATGCCAAATAATCACAATTCCAATGGAAGAAAACCTTGAGTGACATTTTCTTCTGCCAGGGTTTGAACTTTCTGGGAAAATCTTGTCACAACAAAAGTTATTTGGAAAATCAATAATCATATTCCCTTATCATAGTTTCAGAAAAAGGTCAGTTTATGCCAAGAAGAGTTTGGTACAAAACAATTTCACATAAATCTGTTTCTACCTTATACAATAAGTCCAACATTATCTCCCCCAAAATCTTCTGTATAAGTCACTGTGTTATGCTTTGAGCACCTGAAACTAATAAGATATGATCCCTCTTCTTCAGGAATTTGTAGTCTAGAAGGAAGGAAAATATTATACTTCTCAGAAATAATTAAAATACCAAAAAGAGATGATAAAAATAAAATGTGGTATACAAGAGGAATAAGATTTTTGTCAGGTAGATATAGGAAGGAAGACATTCCAGGCACAGAAATGACTGGGGTATAAAAAGTGTGCAGAGGTCAGTAGTTCAGTTGGAGTCAGATCATGAAGAGCCTTGAATGCCAGGTAAGTAAGGTTGACTCACTTTCTTATACTCTTACTAGAGGCCTGGTGCATGAAATTCATGCTCAGGGGTGAGGGGGTCCCCTCAGCCTGGCCTGCACCCTCTTGCAATCCAGGACCCCTCAGGGGATGTCTGACTGCAGTCGGATATCCCTCTTGCAATCTGGGACTGCTGGCTCCTAACGGCTCACCTGCCTGCCTGCCTGATCACTCCTATCCACTCTGCCTACCTGCCTGGTCACCCCTAACCGCCTCTGCCTCGGCCTCCCCTCCCCCCCGCCCCCCACGGCTTCCTCCAGAAGGACCTCCGGAATTTTGTTTGGCTGTCTGCTCTAATTAGCATATTACCCTTTTATTATTATAGATACCCACCTTGCTGGTACCTGGGAAGATAGTCTTAGCTAGCTTTGAATGCGTTTAACACAGAATATTTGAGATCAGCTAAGCCAGCCCTTCATTTTACAAATAAATATCTAAGTCTCGCAGAACTTTGGTGACACACATGTTGTTAGTGAACCAGGTGCAAAGCATAAATGACTGGATAATAGGACAACTTAAAGGCCCTTTCAATCCTAATGTCTATAAACACATGAAATCTCTTTACTTGGCTTGACTAATCTTTCCCCTATATGCTGCTTAGAGCTTCAGAGATTCACTT